GCCGCAATCCCTTCTCCTCCATTCTCCTCTCGGGATCTTGGGCACGCACGCACACGCGCCCGGCGTGAGATTTAAGCCACCGGGTCCGAGACGCGAACCGCGGTCGACTACGTGGGAGTCCAGCGACATAGCCATTACGCTAACTGCTGGTTCCCTGATTTCTTGCTTCCTGTCTCTCTGTCTCTCTCCATCTTTCTGGCGGAAAAAGAAAAAGAAAAAGGAAGAAAGAAGCACGCCTGCATACATCTTTTCCGCCTTACTCAGGGCAGTCTGGGGAGTGTTGCCATCGCTTTTACGGACAGAAACTGACCCTGAGAGCAGTTAGTGGGCCAGGCAGTGGCGTAGTGGTTAAGGTGTCTGGGTCACACATGGTGACTCTGCAGTTTGAGTCCCAGACCTAGCACCTTGGAAGACACACCAGGCACATATGCATGTGTGCCCAAAGCCCAAGAGAATGGGGAAGGGACTGCAGTGTGGCCATCCCCCCGGGGATGATCTCTCTCTGTCTCTCTCTGTCTCTGTCTCTCCCTATAGCAAACCAGCATGTACAGACAAGAAACCCAGCTCAGAGGTCAGCAGGGCTGAGCCCGCCTGGCAGCTGGGGCCCACAGCTGTGACCCACCCTCGGGGCAGGCTGCTCCTGTCTCGTGCGTGTCGCTTCATGTGCGAGCCAGCGAGCGAGTGCACAGCGGGGGCGCCCTCCCCAGGGTCTCCGCACCACAGTCCCTTCAGCCCTGCAGCTGCTCAGATCCAGGGCCATGTGCACCCAGCGTGTCTCCTGGCCACTGGAGGTCTGCCCTTGCGGTCACCATGTGGCTTCCAGCCTGGTGGGGCCAGAGGTGACCTCCTGGGGACAGTGAGCCTGCACTTTTTACGTTTCACCCAAACAGAATCTTGGTTTGAAATGGGGGTGTCACTTCCTCATACACACCAGTCACTAACACACCAAAATTGTCCCTACAGGGTAACCCCCAAGCCAGAGTAGCAGAACCGGTGGTCCATCTCAGCAAAAGCGAGGCCTCGGTGGACACCCACATCCCAGAGCTGCTGTCCCCCACCCCTGCCCGGCTGTACTGGCAGTCCTGGGCCCCCACGCTATCCTAGCCTGAAAGCCAGATTCAGGGCAGAGGCCAAACCCACCCAGCCCTCCAGGTGGCAGCTCCGACCACAGCCGCTGGTGCCCGCAGGGACCGTGTGTCTCGCCATTTCTTGCCATTCCTTTCTCGGTTCCACCAAGAGGTTTTTGCCATTCAGTCCCCTGGGCTCTAGAGAAGTCCAAGGCTTAGGCCGAGCCTCCGGCTGTGGCGGGGGGGCACCCAGGCCGGCCAGCCGCTGGGTGCGGGAGCCTTTCCCGCCTGGGTCAGTGCCAGGTGTGGGCTCGGAGGAGGGGCTGAGCTGGCCCAGGGCTGCACAGCTCACTTCCTCGGGGAGCCCTGCACTCACCTGTCCCTGCTCTGAAACAGCAGCCCAGGCCGGCACGCGGGTAGTGATGGAGGGAGACAGGTCCCACACGGCCAACCGCTGTGTTCTCTTTCTGGACCCGGCAGCTTACAAACCACACCGGTCACGTGAGCATGTGTGTGTGTGACCCGGATCCTGACAGGACGAGGCCTGGAGGAGGCAGGAACATGCTGTGACCACACACCACTGGGGACACATACCCTTTGGCAACTAAAAATAGAATTAAGCAAGAACCTTGCTGTCAAAAGACAAAACCAGGGACCAGCAGTTGGCGTAATGGCTACGTCACTGGACTCCCACGTAGTCGACCACGGTTCGAGTCCCAGACCCGGTGGCTTAAACTCACACTTGGCGCGTGTGCGTGCGTGCCTAAGATCCCGAGAGGAGAATGGAGGAGAAGGGATTGCGGCGTGGCCATCCTTCCAGGAGGGTGATTTCTTGCTTTCTGTCTCTGTTTCTCTCTGTCTTTCTGGCGAGTGTGCAAAAACCTCTCCCCCCAAAAAAGACAAAACCATAACAACTGAGTTTATTTTAAAAATATTTACTTTTATTTATCATTATTAAATTTGATGCAGGCATTCACCAGAGAGATAGAAAGTGAGAAAGCAAGCCGCCAGGCCCAGGATTCAAACTATATTCAGCCATGTGGGAGTCTAGTGCCTCAACCACCACGCCACCTGCCGGCCGCAGCAACTGAGTTTAAGAGCCGTGGGCTCTCTACTCTGCCACGCCTTTCCCCAGGAAGGGGATTGAGTTCTGAGCTGAGCAGCACAGCCGGAGCTCGAGTCAGAGGACAGGAAGGTGGGCCACATGGAGACCACTGGTCGATGCCACGGGGCTGCGGCAGGCCGCACTGTGGTATGAGGATGATGCAGGCACGGCATCACCTCCTGACGGGAGTTGGCCCGGACATCGGGGTGTCCTGGCTCATTCTCCAGGTCTCTCCTTAGCGCGGCGGCTGCATTTTGGTCTCTAACCTGGTCTGTGGGGCGAAGTGTAGGAGCTTCTTTGAAACCAGCCTCCTGCATTTAACGATGCTTAGGGCGCTGCAAGAGGAGAGTCGGGAGGTGGACGGGCTTCGGGGAAGCTCACAGGCGGGAGGAGCTCTCCTGGGCAAAGCCAGGCTGTGGGCCTGTTGCCTCTGCACCCGCCTGGTTCCTCCAGGCCCGTCCCCACCTGGGCTCAGGAGGGATCGCACTGAGGGCTGCTCTCCCCCCAGGGAAGTTCTGGCACATCTCTGACCTGCACCTTGACCCGGACTACCAGGTGTCTGAAGACCCCCTGCAGGTGTGCCCATCGGCCGGCTCGCAGCCCGTGCCCAGCGCTGGCCCTTGGGGAGACTACCTTTGCGACTCTCCCTGGGTCCTCATCAACTCCTCCATCCATGCCATGAAGGAGCTCGAACCGGAGCCCGACTTCATTCTCTGGACAGGGTGAGAGTGGCCAGCCCGCCCCGCGCTCAGCCCCCGCCCCCCCACCGTTCTCACACCGCTGCTGAGACGCAGAACCGGGAGGCTGGGCAGGGTCCAGGCGGTGCTGGCCCCCTTGGGTCTCCCTGTGCGGCAGGAGAGCCAGGATGGACTCTGGGCACACCACCCGGGCCCGAGGGTCTCAGCCCCAGAGGCTGGGGAGGGAGGGAGGAGGCAGCGGGGCTGCGGTGGCCGGCAGTTGCCGTGTTCCAGACTGCAGCTGCCCACTGGCTGCCCTGGGTCTGGGCTCCCCCGTCAGGGCGCTGTGTCACTCGGGCCGGCGATTCCGCTCAGCCTCGGAGCCTTGTCTCTGCTTCCTCGCCCCCACGAGGGTGCTGCCCTTGCCCTTCCAGCCACCCCATGCCCAGCCGCAAGTGCTCTGCCCTGGGCCCGCGTGGAGATGGGCCCCCGGGCAAGCCTGCTGGCCTCACACCTCAGCCAGGAGAGCGAGTTGGCAGGGGTGTGGGAGCCTGCCAGGCACCTGGCCCCGCCACCCAGGTGGGAGGCTGAGAGGGCTCCGCCTTGGCTTGCTCGGGCTGCCTTAGGGACACTTCCCCCAAGCAGGACGAACCTCCCTGCCCTCTTTGTCCCTCTTTGCGACCTGGGAGTGGCAGGAATGACCATCGACTGGCCTCAGGGGCCGGTCAGGGGCAAGGCTGGCCCTTGAGAAAAGGGATGGTGTTCAGGACCCTGGACCGCTCTGGCTTCCTGGGCTCAGGAGTTGATCTAAGAAGAGTGAACTGGGAACCAGCAGTTAGCGTAATGGCTGTGTTGCTGGACCCCCACGTAGTCGACCGCGGTTCGCGTCCCGGACCCGGTGGCTTAAAACTCATGCCGGGTGCATGTGCGTGCGTGCCCAAGATCCCGAGAGGAGAATGGAGGAGAAGGGATTGCGGTGTGACCATCCCCCCTGGG